TCTGGTGAATCCATGGGAGATGACTCAATGGGAGTTGACGGTAAATGCCGGGCTGGTGAGAGCGCAATCTCAAGTGTTAGTTGACTTGTAGTATGTATGGGGAAATATGTCGAGTCAATGCTAAGAGTCTCCACAGGTCCATTGAGTGGTTCAATCGGATAAGGTGACACAAGAGAATCATGAGGTATATGAGAATGAGTTTCATGAGAAAGAGGGAATTGGTTCTCATGAAAGACAACATCACGAGAGGTAAAAATTTTATGAGTCTCTAAGTCGTACACCTTGTAACCTTTTTGGCCATATGGGTAACCAAGAAAAATGCATCGTTTGGCTCGAGCATCAAACTTGGAAGGTTTAAGTGAATGAGTAGAAGCAAAACAAAGGCACCCAAAAACCCTTAGATAATGATAGGAAGATGTAACATTGAACAACCTTTCATAAGGTGATTTCCCAGATAATATAGGTGTAGGAGTGCGATTAATGAGAAAAGTTGCAGTGAGAATAGCTTCCCCCCAAAAATGTTTAGGTAACCCAGCTTGAAACAATAATGCTCGAGCAACATTTAAGAGATGGCGATGCTTTCGTTCTGCTACTCCATTTTGTTGTGGAGTGTCGGGGCAACTAGTTTGGTGCATTATCCCTTTTTCAGAATAAAATGTGGGCATGCAAAATTCTAACCCATTGTCGCTACGAATGGTTTTAACTCGGAGAGCAAATTAAGTTTCAACTAACTGGATGAAAGATTTGAGATTATAACGAGTCTCGGATTTATGTTTCATCAAATATACCCAAGTGCAACGAGTGTAATCATCCACAATGGTAAGAAAATAGTGAGCCCCGGAAATGGAACATGTTCGGTACCCATCCCAAAATCAGTGTGCAATAATTCAAAGGGTGAAGAAATGGATATATTACTCAAAGGAAATTGAAATCTGCTTTGTTTAGCTAAAGGACAAATTGAACAAAATGGAACAGTAGAATAAGAAATCTCAGAAACATTATTAGAAAGAAAGTTTAAACATTTATTCGATAGATACCCTAAGCGTTGATGCCAAAGCATGGAAGCTGGTGGAATGGTCTGAGATACAGCACAAATGGAAGAAGTGAGGTAATATAGTCTATCTCGTTCTCTACCCATCCCAATCATCGTCCTCGAGCATTGGTCCTGAATGATATAAGAATTAGGAGTGAAGATCAGTGAACAATTGGAATCTCGTGTGAGTGTTAATGTGGGTGAAATGACCACTGATCCAACATGAGTTACTGGTGTAGTATTCCCATTTGGAAGTGTGACAGTGCTAGAACCATTGGATTGAATAGAAGTAAGAAGAGATGGTGATTTAACCATATGATCTGTTGCACCACTATCAAGAATCCATAACGTGGAATCAACAATAGATGAAAAGCTTAAAGAAGTACCTGAGAGAGTTGAAATAGAAACCTTGCTACCTACTTGGTTAGCAATGTGGGCGGGCTTGGTGATGAGAGTTAGAAGTTGATGACACTGCTCTTGAGTGAATGGAAGAGAGTTAGTTCTAGGCCGTTGCATTTCAGTGGTTGAATAGGATGCTTGATTGGCGCTTGCACCAACAGACTCTTTATGAAGACGATGTCCTAGCAGATGCCCATGAATAAGATAACATTTGGTTATTGTGTGACCAACCTTACCACAATGTTCACATGTTGTTCGCTCACGAGTTCCTCATTTCCTTTTGTCAGCATTCTTGTAATTCTTATTATCTCGTATCTCGCCATTACTTTTAGAAACGAGAGCAGCAGCTTCAGGAATCGAGACAACAGTGGTAATTTCCCTTTGTCGTTCCTCTTGTAGCACCAAAAAGAAAACTTTATTTACAGAAGGAAGCGGCTCCATCAGCAAGATTTGACCATGAACCATGGAATAAGATTCATGAAGTCCCATTAGAAATTTCATGGTTCTTTGGCGCCTTTGGTATTCAAAGACTTCCTTCATGGCACCACAAGAACATGAGGGCGTAAGAGATAGTGCATTGAGTTCATCCCAATGACCCTTCAGTCTTGTGAAATAGGCAGCAATGGACATAGTGTCTTGTGTGAGATCATGAATCTCACGTTCGATTTGAAAAATATGGGGAACATTAGTTTGCGAAAAACGTTCCTTCAAGTCTTTCCACATCTCGTGGGCTGATTCGGAATAAATCACACTTGCAACAAGATCCTTAGAAAGGCTGTTGTATAGCCAAGAGGTAACCATATTGTTACAACGAATCCACTGTTGCAAGTCAAGATCCGATGAATTGGTTGGCTTGGGGATCGATCCATCGATGAAACCCACTTTGTTTTTAGCACTTAATGCCATGATCATTGCTCGACTCCATGTTGTATAGTTGTCACCAGTTAAAAGCTGGGAGACTAACATCATCCCCGGCTGATCTAAAGGATGAAGATAGAGAGGATGAGATGGAGTGTTGTGTTGATCAGACACGGCAGAATGGGAACCAGATTCTGGTTTTTTATCTCCCATTAAAAAGCTGCCAAAATGATCTAGAAATTGCTGGAATAGGCAATTCCAAGTTGAAGAATGAGCAGGAGCGTTAAAGTTCTGATGCCATGATAAAATTGAAATAGTTTTGAATTATTTATTTTCTATTGACTAACTTGATATATTTATATACAAGGTTACAATTAAATCTCCAAATGTCTAGGATGTAATCAAGCAAGGGAATTATGGAAATACAAATTACAATCAATTCTCCTAAAGTCTAGGATGTAATCAAGCAAGAAAAAAAGAAAGTCAAAATAAAGATTATACAACTGTACATAATCTTTATCAGTGTTTGGATGCCAATTCTTCAAAGGGTGTCATTGTTAAAAAAAAATAGGCATGACAACCTCAAGAAGTGTCATTATACTTTATTCTTCTTCTTCTTTTTCTTTTTTTTTTTTTTTTTTTTTTTTTTTTGTTTCGGCGACATGTCTTTTCAATACCACATGACTTCAATAATGTTGGGTTTAATAGCATGAAATTTATGCTTTGTGAGTTAAAATTGAAAGAAAAATTACATAAAATCTAAACTAACATGATTTATTTTATTTTTTTTTTCATTTGAAATGCACAAAGGTCAAGTCAGAAGGCAGTACAAAGGCATAAGCCAAGCCAGATAAAGGCATACAAATCATGAAGTAATACAATAAAATGAAAAACAGACTCCAGATTTGTTGAGAAAGAGTCACTGCTCTAGAACGGAAACTATCAAGGGAGAAAAGCAGTAAATTAAAGTGACCAAATGTCAGGCCATCATCAAGGCAACAGCTCTAAAACTGCATCCACAAGGCACCTCCACACACCCAACCCCACACAAGATCAAATCAAGCCAGGGAAGAACAAAAATCGACCTAGATCAGAAATCTAGCCGAAGGGAAAACAATAAATCCACCCCGTTGAGTCTGAAACAAACCAAACAATAGCATATCTAGCCATACAAAACAAAAAAATAACGTGAAAAACCACCCACATGCAGACTTATTGTGACACACCGATGTTATTAACATGTGGGAGGCAAGCAAGGTCACCTCCCCACTCCTATAGAAGGGAGCAAAGCAGAAGGGGCCGAATGGTTGTGAGAGAAAGAGAGATGGGGAAAAGAGAGAACAGAGGAAAAGTTAGAGGAATGCTATATATAATAATAATTATACAATCATTTAGGCCCAATTAGGTTGGAAATAAATGAAAGGAAAATAAAAGAAAGAAAATGAAGGGTATGGTTTTTTGTGTTTGGTATAAAATTTTAAAGGAAAATAAAAGGATTTGAAGGATACATTTAGCTTAATGAGTTGGTTTTGTTATCTTCTAAAATTAAATGGAATACTAGTATTTTTTATGAGACTTTGTTAACATCAAATTTAACCTTATATTAAAAAAAGATAAAATCTATATAAAAAGTATGATAGTAAATTCATTAAAATTGTGTTATGCTGCATCTAATTGGAGTTTTGAATTTGAAATTGTTGGAATTGAAGAAAAATTTAATTTAATTTTCTGAATTATTTTTATCCGATGCTACTATTTCTAATTTCAAAACTCCAATTCCATGCAACTTAGTCTAAAATAATTTTTTCTCTTTATTTTTTCAAACACGATTGTTATATATATTTTTTCCCTTTAAATTAAACAGTTGTCCTTCCGGACTTGTCAGAAATTCTAATACTTTTTGTTGCAATCTGAAACTACGAATGTGGACTACAGGTATGTATAGTGAATCAATATGTAACACTCCATAAATAATTGGACCCCTTTCGATCCAACCATAGGGATATATATAAATATATATATGGTTTGATTTAGCTTTGTTTTAAAAAGCAGTTTTCAAGATTGGGAGAAAATTTCAGAGCGCACTAGAATCTTTACTTCTCTTCAAGCAAATCCATACATTTTACATTTTCATTCTTTCAATGTCTTTTGTGATAGCATTCCATATCTCATGTCAACCAAATTTAACCGGAGTCAAATTTACACCAAAAAAAAAAAAAAACTAGAGTCAAAATAGTTGCAAAATGAACTGGTTTCACTACTACCTTTACCAGCAAGACCAATTTAAAGAAGTTCCGAAATCCAAAATTCATTTTTACCACGTATTTATCATTCTAAACATCTGTATAAACTTTATTTTGTAAAGAATTGAAATATCACAAAATTTCAACTTTTATATGTTTAGGGAAGATAAATATTTCAATTTTTATTTTTTATTATGCTCTTCTTTTTCTTGATTATAGTATTAGTGTGGATATCATATCATTCCACTAACAAGTACTTAACAAGTTCTACTACCATTGCGTCAATTCTTATTAATAAAAGGAATTTGTCCAAACAAGTAACCTATTTACCTTACTAACTGTAAAACCTGCATCAGGTTTAGTTTACATACATGCATAACAAAATTGGTAGTTTCTGCATGGTTCCTGTTGTTTTAGACCACTTGAAATACTACTTATTATGCAGGGCCAATATCACAGATCAAATATGGTATTAGCAAAATCCTCCTAATAAATTCAGAGCATCAGCAATTGTAATTCACTATTCTTGGGGGAGAAGCAGCCCCTTAGATGAAATCATGAATTGTCCAAAATTCCCTAAACATGACAATAGTCTCGGTGACTCGCTACAATTTCAACTCAAGGGCTATAAAACTAACAATTTATCAGATTTAGAAATTCCAAACAAATACTACCTCTTTAAAAAAAAAAAAAAAAAGGGAAAAGGAAAGACAAGGCTTCTGCTCTTTCCACAATGTATCATCCTTAAAGCTCTGGCTTACTGGATTTCGAATTCTTCTTCGAACCTGCTTTCTTTCCTCCCCACCACTGCCGAATCCTGTGGGCCGCTGTGTCAGCATGTATTTTTAGTTGCTTCCCCGTGTCTTGAATTCCTCTTGTGATCTTCTCTTTCCAGTCGATCTTCGTACTTTCTTTATCTCTCAGAACCTTTCCCTGTTGAGAATTGAAGATTACATAAGCAATCTGTCACTCGTCAAAACCTATATCACTCTGAGATGAGGTCCGGTTTTACCAATTTAGAGGGGAAGTGCTCCTCATCCTCATCTTCGTCATCTGCATCTTCACCACCGAAGTTTTGATTCATCAAATCTTCCCTCGAGTACATCTGCATGCCAGGTGCTCCTGGCATACCCTGAAAGCAGAGTAAAACAAAATTTAGTAGCGCAGTAAAGTATAAATGGTATGAATAAATACAATATTACCAGTTAAGCAGATTAATACCTCCATGGATTTCATTATCTTTTCCATTTCAGCCTCTTTGGCTGACTTCGGAACAAAAGCCTCCCCTGGACTCCTATCCTGAGAAAAATGAACATTTAGGTTCATGATTTATGAAACTATAATACTTTTTCTTCCTTGATTAAATGTGCAAAGCCAAGCAGCTCATTCATGGATAATGACAGACATCCACATAACCAAGAAATAGAGATCGCATCCATGTATCTTTTGTAAAGGAGAGGTGGCAAAACTTCGATTGATGTCCATGTATACAAGTCTATAAAGACTGCATATCATGATCAAGACATTATATAACACAAGTTGAGCATGCAAGGAGAAAAATTCTTGGAAGTAAAAAATCATGCTAAAAGTTTGGTCCCGTAAACTATCCAAATCCTAGAACTCTGATTTAATATTTATTCTACAAGTTTTTTCTTATGGTGACTGTCTTGACAAAAGAAAAATAATAACCTCACCTCCACTACGGAAAATTTGTTGCCACCCAAACAATTACAAGAATATATATTGCTCGGATAACTAGATTAATATAGTAAATTTCAAGCAAAATGTTTAATGGTCTTCAACATAAAGATCACATGGAGTTTAAATTATCAGCATAGAGAAAACAGGAGGAAAAGAAACCATGTCAGTTACTTTATCTTAAGTGGTGCCTTGTCAAACTCTGATTCTTGGGCTTTCTTGTAGTACCATCTATCCATCTTAATTCTTTTGAACACATTATTCTTGATTTCCTGCATTTCGTATCTTAAAGGATCATAGGACTTGGAGCCTAATGATATTTTTCATATTACTTTACAGGCACTTAACACATTGACTTCACTCATAGTTTCAATTTATGGCAATGTATATTTCCGCTTTGAGACATAAATTTTGTTCTGTATTTATAGCATATACTTTATGATTTGTTCTATTAGCTTAACTGCCCCTTCAACATCATAGTTTCAATTTTGTTCTTTATTTATAGCATCTACAGATAACATATATTGCAATTAACATGGAATTTCACCTCAATTCCATTTTGCTTTTCCTTCTTTGGACAATACAAGCTTTTCTACTTTAAGTACTGCCACTCAGTTATTGGGATGGGAACGTATTTCCTCCACCCTTCAGTACCATTTCTTGAAAATTGTACATATATATTACATTAACCTATTTCCTCCAACCAACAGGCCGCAGGTTAACTGCCACTGGCAAACTTAAATGTTGCTATGGGCTGACTTGACTCGTACAACAAGAAGTAAAGCCATTTCCTTTATTATAAGCTCTTAACTCCGCAAATATCGATCAAAACTTGAACCCTTGTTAAATGGAGTAAATAGGGAAGAAAATCCTTCGGTCAAGACGGTATGGTTCTAAGGGCCCCTGTTCGGGCTAACGTGAAGTCGTTTCTGATTGGCCTAATGGCCTATAATCCACTTCTAAAATTATTAAATGTTCATCCTTTTTTTTTGGAATGTGTATCAAATCTGCATGCCATACATTCACAGACATTGACTATACAACAACAAAGCCTTTTCCCATACATTCACACATGTTGACTATATAAAACAATAAAAAGGATTTAGGCTGAAAAAACAACAATAAAAAGGAAACAGAAATAGAAACACGCCAAGACTTAATCCATATAACATAAACATAGGAAAGATTAAAAAATAAAAAGGCAATAATATACATAAGCATATTAACTTAGGGTAACAGAACTCGTAACCTTAGGAACTGGTGGTGGCTTGGTACTGCATGCTTTAGTGAGGTCATTGCAAAGGTAATTCACCAATGAATCTTTCTGAGGCTTGTTTTTATATAAATATTCCGCAACATCAGTATCAGAATATCCCATGACCTGTAACATCTCAGAGTGGAAAATCTAATTACAACACGCACATACACATATAAAAAAAAGTACATTTCAGATTGTTAAAGAGCTGAAATTAAAAAAAACTACGACTTTTTTTTTTTTAATGGAGGGTGTCCCCACCCCCTTGGGAGCGGAACTATTCCCTTCCTATTCCCGCAATCACCCCCAAAACACATGTATCAGGTAAGCTCATGGTGGAGACTTGATGCTCCATGCACAGAGGCCTTGAATGGATCACACAAACATTATTCATCTAATCTAAGCCTATGACATTGAAGTAATATTATTTGTGATTACATCCATTTTCCACCAACCATTTACCCTCAAATGACAGTAGACTTCGTTGCCAAGAACAATTATATGTGGGTTAAATTGACTATGCAACAAAGGTAAAATAAACATGAAATCTCACCTCCTGACATGCCCGCTCAATTGTTTTACATTCTGAATTGCACTGTCCTTCCGAGTCTTGTTCGACAAGCTACACAAGTTGCAAAATTGAAGTTAGATATCTTGCTAAGGCATTAAAAACTGAAGTTGTACCCAATCTGGGCATCAAAAGTCTACATTTACAACAGCAATACTAATATACTATAAAATCTTAAGTCCCTGCTACATGGAAACCACCCACCCACCCACTTTAACACAATCCTTGTCTCCTGATTGAAAATTTGTAAGCTCGTACACAATTTCATTGACATTCTAACGACATGCCATCACTAATGAAAAATACAGTATCCCAATGGGTCGATGAAGATCCATAGAAATACTTCCAAAAATGGAAGGAGAAAAAAAGACTAATTTTAGACAATCGGGAAGTTCAAAAAGAAAGACATACATCATTCTCACCTCCAATCTATCCCCTTGTTCTACTATATCAATTTTTAGAATCCAATCTGCTTCCTGCTTCTTCAAATTGCAAATATTCTCCGCTATTTCAATGATTTCGTACTCTGAGATCTGATCTCAAAATTGAACAGAACACAAAATGAGAAAAAATAAATCAATTAAACAGTTAGTTCTAACATAAAATAGATTGTAAAATATTGGAGATGAACCTCATTGATAACATTGAACAAAACAAAAAATTACAATTAAAAGTTATAGACATGTATCTTATTGCATACTAAAAGATTCTTGGGTAGCACACTTAACGGAGGATCCAGTTGGATTGGAGTTTGGCAAATGTGCAAGTTTAGCAGTTTACGTAAAAATAGGAGATTACAAATCACCTAATGTTTGTAAATCCTAACTTGACAACAGTAAGTGTCAATTTTAGTCCACAAGATATAAGCGTTATGTTCTTAATGCCATGTCCAATTTCCCTTTCTTCTTTGTTTAAAATTTGAATCATGTGGCAAGAGCCAAGAAACTTTTGAAAACTACACCACTATTGAGATGTGCCCAAAAATATATTAACACAAATATTTTGTGTGCCTTGGGGTAGGACCGGGCTGCGCATGGACAATGCAATTTGATTTTGTGATGTGATATAGTGTGGTATGTGCAGGGAATCAAAGTAAAAGGTTTACTTTTCTCCTCTTACAATTTTTTTTTTTTTTTTTTTTTTTTTCCTGCATTTCAGAAATGTTCGGACTATCCATATGAGTTAAATTGGACTTGTTCTTTTCTTCTTTTTTACATGTTAAATACTTGCATAAATCAAAGGCCCAATTTCAGATATTTTTCCTTGGCATAGCCCTGTTGGGATTGCAAATATATCACAAATGTCTCTTCTTCTCTGCATCTTATTCTAATAACTTTTATCTTTATATTTTTGTTTCAATGAACACTAAGAGTAGCCAATTTGTGCAATTTTTGCCCAAAACTAAGTAATGATACTTTGTTATTTTGGTTTCACTCGCAATGTGTAAAGCTCCATATTGCAAGGTGTAGGCAACCTGAAACTCTACCGATAATATAGAAAGGGTGACCTCAGAAGCCATCTTCATTAATAAGGTTACATATCTAGTGGATGCAAAATCACTTCAAAGTGGACTCAATTCAACAAATTATAAAATTTTGATAAGTTATTCCAGTTTTGTTATATTATTATTTGTCCTTATTTGTTCAATAATAAGAGCACAATACCTAAGTATATTACCAACATTAAATCTGAAAAAAAAAAAAAAAAAAAATCAATCTCTACTAACAACATCTTCCAACGAAAATCATGGGAAAGGTTGGTGGAAATCCAATACATTGAATAATACCCACTGAACCAATCCATAAATATATATGGAGAAAGACTCAGATGTCGAATACGATAAAACATGTCACAATTAAATTAAATTATTCATAATGAGCGATTTACCCAGCTACAAAACGAGCATATCAAGATAGACTGGAGACAAAATCAATGAATAAAATTAACCCAAACATCTATGTAATTAACCACAAGTTCTTGAATAAACATATGGGGAGTGATTAGAAACAAACCCAGCTAGTAAAAATACCTTCTTTGGAGAGATCTGATCTTGCTTTGTCTGTACTTGTAGATATAAGTGTTGTGCGAGCTTTTCACAGACCTGGCACTTTATATACGGTATGTCCTCTCTCCTAGCAACCATAACTGGTTTCTTGGCACAATGAGAGATTGGTACCCATGACGATATAATCACTAATGATATCAATAAGACAACAATTTGATCGATTTTCGCCATTACTACTTCTCTCTCTAAACACCTCTCTGAGTCTCTCTAGAATGCGAAGAACTCTCAGAGTCAAGTCTCTATTGTATGGTCGCGGTCGCGAACAGAGCAACGCTTGTTCGTTAATGGCTCAAACAAACTGTAACTCATCGAAATATTTGGACAGAATTACCCCTAATGACTCACTTATTTTCATAATACGACGTCGTGGAGTTGTTTGATTAAATTGTTACGTGTTTAGCTGTTTCTGATTGGTTACTTAACGCCACGTGTCTTGGGCCCATCCGTCGAGCCAAAAGAACCCAGACGACACGTGCTGTCATACTAATGGATTCTCGTTTCCATTAGCGTGTGATACCGACGCAGTAAATAAAAACTCATGAAACAATTTCCATTTCTGAAGTAATTCGATTCAAAATGACAGAAACACCCCTGTATGACAACGTGTCATTCTCTTAGTCTTACACATAGAAACAAATTGGATTACGAATGCAGAGTAACTCTTACCCACTATCTAAAACCCTAATTGTTCCTGCATTACACCCCGAACCAAATCAACTAGGGTTTTGCACTCATCGTCTTCGAAGATAATTCAATAACGGCGTTGACATGGCTTTGGCTCCAATCGAACCCCAAAGCTCTCCAAAACCACACAAATTTAGTAATTTCGTGGGCGAAAACTACGAACTCGCATTAAACCAGTCGATACCAAACCTTTTAGACTCACTTCGCACACCCTCTTTTGATTTATCTATTTTTGCCTCCACTTTCAACGAATTAATGCAAGCTAAGGTTAATCCACCTCTAGAAGTCATCTGGGTTTACTCGGCTTTAACCTTTCGCAGCAACAATTCAGCAAAAGACGACCCTTTGAATCGATTAACAGTCATAAGAGAAATTTTTCAGTTGATATCGGCTTGTTCGGCTTCAGTTAGCTGTTCGAAAAGCATTGTTTTAATAGCTCCTGTTATATACGAAGTGTATAGATTAATTGTTGATTTGAAGGCGAAAGATTTGGGTCGTAAGAGAGAGAAGAAAGTGAAGATTGAGGTCAAGTCTTTAGTTAACGTGATTCTCGGGTACATTAGTTTGTGTTGTTGTGAAGATTCGAATGATGAAGACATGTTGGGTTTGGATTCGGATGATTTAATTCGACCTTTGGAGGACCTAGTTTGTGTTTGGATCGGTGATCAAGTTGATGCCAATTCAGGGGGAAAGGATGGTTTTAGATTGTTTTTTCCACTGGTGACTGATGAGATTACTGAAAGGCTCAGTAAAGGAGAGTGTGAAGTTAGTGAGCTGGCCGGAGTTGTGATCGCGGAGGCATTTCTGTTGAGACTGTGCTTGGATTTTCATGTGGGGATTGAGAGATTGGAGTTGGAGAAAGAGTTGAGGAATTGGATTGTTGGTTCCATGTCGGGTTTTCGGAACTTTTACTTCTTCGGTTAGTCCCACCTTTCACTTCTTCTGTTAGTCCCACCTTTCACTTCTTCTGTCAATATTTTATCAACTATTGGTTGGAGTTCAGATTGATTGTTTTTTGAAAAATATAATATATTTTTCCCAACTTTTACTGGTATTGCACATAGTTTGTGCCTAAATGAATAGGTGGGATTCTTTGCACAAACAATTTGGTCTTGCATCATTTCTTTTTAAACATATTTGGGATGTATTTGGTTTTGTTTATTTTGTTCATTTCTCAATGGTATTTGTTTATATTTGAGATAGTCATTCAATTGTACCTATTCAATTAAAAAACAAAAAAGGAACTCCCGCATATAGAAATCTATATGACAAGTAACCCTGAATCAAGTGCAATGCATTTATCTCAAAAAGACATGCCTTGAGACTGTGCTTGGATTTTCGTGTGGGGATTGAGAGATCAGAGTTGCAAAAAGAGTTGAGGAATTGGGTTGTTGGTTCCATGACTGGCTTTCGGAACTTTTAGTTCTTTGGTTAGTCCATACCTTAACTGATTTTCCCACCTTTCACATCTTGTGTCAGTATTTTATCAACTATTGGTTGGAGTTCAGATTGATTTTTTTTTGCCAAAAATATCGTTCCAAACTTTTATTGGTTTTGCATCCAGTGAATGATACATAGTTTGTGCCCAAATGAATAGGTGGGATTCTTTGCACAAGCAATTTGGTCTTGCATCATTTCTTTTTAAACATATCAGTGATGTCTTTGGTTTTGTTTATTTTGTTCATTTCTCAATGGTAGTTGGTATTTGTTTATGTTTGAGATGGTCATTCTATTGTGCCTATTCAATTAGAAAACCAAAAAGGAACTCCCTCCATATAGTAATCTATATGACAAGTAACCTTGAATCAAGTGCAATGCATTTATCCCAAAAAGACAAGCCTTATAATGATATATATTTCCCCCTTGAATCATTTAAAGGAAGATGAGACATATTGATCCCTTTTTATGTGATTGCCTTCATTTTCTTTCTTCGAATGTTATTAATGAACTGACATTTAAATATTGTTGGTTCTTGTCCAAAAAAATTTGTGACATTCTAATTTCTCCTATATATTGCCAGAGACCCTTGTGAGGATGCTACTGGAGCCTACTTTGCCTATAAGCTCCTTATTGGTTAGTATCTCTTCCTTTGAATGCTTTTGAATCATTCTACTTCTTCATTTGATAATCTATATTCAGGTCCAATGAATTAAGTTTGCGATGCATGCTTTTTCAGTTACATATATGTTCACTCTTTAAGGTACACGAGCAAAAAATGAGTAATTTTTAATGATTGTACTTTAAATATGATGATGGAAATAGAATCCCCGTAAGTTGGGGAACCAAATGAGTCAGTGGTCATGCTCACCCTTTACCCGGAAGATATGATGGTGGGAATTCTCAGAGATTGGTAGTTGGATCATTGATTAAGGAGTTGTAACAGAAAGGTGGACCATTGATTAAGGAGTTGCAGTAAGATTATGAAATGTTGAGATTGCGGAAGGAGACACTTATTGAATGGTAATCTTTTGAAATGTGAAGGGATAGGTGTTTTATTGCTTGGATTTAAAAAATACATGATTTGATATAGGTATGTTTAATAATTTTCTAGTGTAAGACATGATAGAAAGATGGTCTTGGAATGATTGTTTCTAAAAACTTTTTCTTGGTAGACTTTGGTGGTTACTAGCAATGTCAAACCATGAATGGGAAGAAGGAATAATTTGTTTATAAAATATTTACTTTTTTGTCTTTAATTTTGTTCAGCATTGTCCTTTTGAACTCTTAAAATCATTTGTCATTTAACTCTCTCTTCACATATTGAGCTGTATGTCACATAAGTTCTTTGTTTTCCTATGACATTTTCCCTTTATTGTTCATGCTACTTGGCCATCTGCATTTTGTTGAAGTCTAAGAATTAGAATAGTATTGTGTAAATGCCATTGCAGAAATCTGAAGATGAGATTTTTCTGAGGAAAATTCTGTATGATGCTGTGGTATTAGTGGACTATTCATTCGTTAATCCTGAGAGAGTGATTCATGTACCTGCCAAGAACATGAGAAGTCTAGCCATTGCCAGATTGATGGTTACACATGAAGCCATAGAGTTGTTTAGGTATGTAAATCCCAATTGAAAATCTAACCAAACTCTCAAAGCAAAACTTACTGGAAGGAATGGGGTGAAAGGGGAAAAAAAAAGAAGCTTTTTTTTTCTTCCTGAAATTAACTCATAGCAGAAATCTTATCATCATCTTCCTGTTTGCAGGGAAGACGGGAATCAAACTAAAGCCATCTCTTATATAAATGCCTTCTCTAGATCTCATTTACCTTCTCAACTGATTAAGTGGTTCACTAGTGAGATTGGCAAGGAGGGCAAAGCTAGTAGACCAAAGGGATCATCACCTAAAGCATTATTGAGTAAGTGGCTCTGATATATTTCATCTTTGGTGTTGCCTATCATACATAACGAGTTGCCATAAACAGTTTATGACTAATTTATCAACTGCAATTCCCCAGAATGGTTACTTAACCTAGAGAATCAAGGGATTAAATCATTGGATGATGGCATCTCAAAATGGTGTGCCAAAGTAGATTTTTCAAAAGCAGACTATGAGCAACTGGCATATAATGCAGAAGGGGACAAGTCGGCTGGTGATCTCTTCTACATTGATAACAAGGGTGAAATGGAAATTGGGAACGTGGGGGATGAACAGATGAATGAGTCCATGAGTGCTGCATTTGTGGCTGCTGCCCAGACAATGACACCTGACGAAAATGGTCGGAGAAGAAAACGGAAGGAACGGAAAAATATTGAAAAGAAAAAACAGGTAAAGTTTCTCAAGTACAATCTATATGACAATTCTGGTTCATCAGGAGATAAGTTCACACTCAGCAAAGATGCTTCAAATAGTGAGAGCGACGTTGAGAATCCACTTTCCGATGAAGATGTGGCGGTGAATGAGTAATAATGGCCTATGGAGAAATTCTTAATGGACAGGCAAGACATACATGCAGTCTGTTTCATGGTTGGCTAATATATGTTTATGACTGACAGTTGTCAATAGGGAGCCGGTATGATGCTTCTAGGATGGTTCTCTTTCGCTATCTAAATATAGTTTCCAAATCATTTGTCCTTGAGTTTTCATTTCCAAATCATTTGTGCTCTGATTTTCAGGAATTTTTGCCCCTGTAAACAATGTATTCTGGATGGCATTGCCATAATCAATCTATTTTGTTGAAGCCTCCTGATATATTATTCTAGCACCTTTTGCACTTTAACTCCAGTCATCTATGTTACAAGAGGTTACATACAATTGGTTTCTTACTTTCCTTGTATTGAAAAAATATAATAATAATAACAAATAAATAAACACACCGCGTTTGGTGATGCAAAATGAAGGCAGATTAAATGAAGAAATAACACGAACATGTATAGCTCTAGAGATGCTGTGGAGAAGCAGAATCAAGATTACACAATTGCAGCTCCCTATATCTAAATGTTTGCTCCTGACCTCTCTAGAACCTGAAGTGAAAGTGAGCAACTATTGCGAGTATCTCGTTTAACTCATTGAGAATGGCCATTAAGCTTAAACATCAAAACCCCTCCGATGGTCCAGAAGAAGTTAAAAACTCAAATCCCGGAAATGCATAGTCCATGAAGCTTGAACTTCTCCGAAGTATCTCCACAAAATTTTGCCAGAGCACACTTCCCTGCTATCAGCAATAAAACAGCAAAATCAGTGACATATCCCATATCATTGGAAAATGGATATAGAAGAAAAGCACAAACATTGCTCCTGTTAGAGTGTAAGGATGAAATGGCAGCTTTTTTACTTTTGTCAAGATAGTAAAAAAAATATGAACCAATTGCTAAGAGCCTACAAAACAATCTCCTATAATTAAACACAATATTTTGGAATGATTTCAGAGGAAAAGTTTCAGTTTAAAAGGCATCAATATCCATATTTTGCATAAAAAACATATTTAAATGATGCAGGAACAATAGTACCTCGATTAACACTAACCTTGTAAAACAATGTGAGAGGTTCCTTAGCCCTGGAAACTATGATGGTACTGAGCACACAGCTTCTCCAAGAGCATGTACGGTTTCCAGAAGTGGTGGATTCAATTATTGTCATGGATAACTATTTTCTAAATTTGTGATGTCCGAAGTGCTTCCTACAGTCATGCCAGTCTGCACAGATGTGGACTCTCGAACATTTTGATTTTGTTTCATGGGAGATGCTTATATGAGCAAAAGCTAGAGCCAACCTTTCAGTGTGATAAATAGCTCCTTCCAAGGAATTATTGAAATGGTTTTTCATCATGTTGTGACACCACAGAGTCAAAGATTACTGAAATTTTGATAAGGTTTCTGTTGCTGGATAAACAATCAGATCATATGCAATATCCAACTGCTCGCTATGATAAAGCAAGCCTCCTCCTTGACCTCCTGATTATTGTAATGAAAGCACATAGCTTGTATCCAGTGTACAACCTGCTTCCCTCATTGATCATTAGCCAACGGGTGAATATCAATTCTCAGAGGCCTGCCCTTTTACTCTGACTGACTGACTCGGCTCTTCCCTTAAAGCATGTTGATTGCAGAATGCTTCTCTGATGGCAATATTAAGAGTGTGTGCAATGGTCTTGGAAGGAACAGGAGCAACCAACAATACCTTGGCATGGCCTTCACAATCAGTGTATCCCTGGATTCAAGCAAAATTCAAGCAAGCAGCCAAGTTTCTGTACCAGGCTCAATTAACATTTTGTCAATGAACAACTCTACCTTAATGGTATCACTTGGTTTTCCAAGAACATCAACAGTCCCTAAAATATGCTCGGACCCTTGAAATATTGAGTTCATTGTCATCGAGTTAATTCACCCAATTGTAGACAGATTTCCTTGATATTGGGATCTGAAGCATCTTGAGCAAAGAACATGTGGGCTTGAGCATTGATCTCCACCCAGCTACATCCTGGTTCCTTTTTCATATATAGTTAAAGTCGATTCCAGGTACAAGCTCAAAAAGTTTCCCAGCAGCTTTTTGGCCAAATTTCACACTTCCATGCATTTTACTACCCCAAAGAACAGTCTCCCAAATCAAGGCATTCTGGTTTAGCTTCATTTCCTCGATAAAATTTTCAACCCCGTAAAACTTGCCTGCTCGACAAAGGATATTGACCATACAAGCATGATGCTCAATTGTAGGCGTAATTCCATAGACCGTGCTCAGTGAATCAAAATACTTTTTCCCTTCTTCAGTCATACTCATGTGACTGCATGCAGAAAGAACACCTATGAAGGTGATCTCATCAGGTTCAGTGCCTTCATCTAACATCAACTTAAAGGCTTTAAGAGCCTTCTCTCCTTCCCCATTTTGCGAGTATCCACATATTATCGTGTTCCACAGGACAATGTTTCGTTCAACAATGTCTTTGAAGACTGCCTCAGCATCTTTTATGCATCTACATTTTGAATACACGTCAACAATTGCACTAGCAACGTATGTATTGCCCAACACCCCAGACTTTATAGCCAAGGAATGGAGCTGCCACCCATTTTCTGGGGTTGTTAGACTGGAGCAACCACTTAAGCAGCTGGAGAGAGTGAACTCATTGGGCATAACGCCTTCTCGTTGCATTTGACTGAAACACTTGAGTGCTTTCCTCCCTTGATTAGCCTGAGCATAATTGCCAATGATCACTGTCCAAGTGCTTTCATTTAATCTGTTGACTGAAAGGGCATTCCTTGAAGCTGAATCGTGATTATGTATTGCCTCAAACATTTGCAAACCCCTTTGAACAAATCCAATTTTAATGTAGAATGTGATAAGTCCATTGCCAACTGAATTATCAGATTCGAAACCGTGTTTACATATACAAGCGTGGATGTATTCACCAAAATGCCAATCACCCAGATTAGTGGCAACACTAATGAGACTGGAGATCGTAAATTGATTTGGCCTCACACCCTTATGCTTCATTTGACAAAATAACACGGCTGCTTCTTGGCTCTGGCCTTGCTGATTGAGACAATTGATCATTTCACTCCAGGCCACTACGCTGGGATCCTTGATCCTCCCAAAGACTTTAAATGCATCATCTGCCAGTCCACCCTTAGAGTACATATTGAGAAGGCTACAACTCACATACTCATTAAGCTCACAACAACTTTTATTGCCATAGAATGCACAGCCCGAGCTTCTCTCAGATCTCCAGAATTTGCACAACCCTTGAGGACGGTTGATAAAGTAAACTTGCTGAACTTCATCTCTGATTCTGTCATGCTGGAAAACACTTTGAAGACTTCCTTCCCATCACCCAACTGAGCCCATCCATCAAGCAGTGAATTCCACAATACAGCATTCTTCTCAGGCATGCAGAAGAACACTTTGTTTGCAATTTCCATCTCGCCAACAACAAGAGCAGACCCAACAAATACATCTGAAATCTCACCAGATTTAATTACTTGGGCATGCAACTGTTCCCCAAAATGTACATCCAAGCACATTGAACAACCTTTCAAGACAGTAGCAATTGTAAATCCATTTGGCCTAATACCTTCCTTTCTCATCTCATAGAACATCTCAAAACCATCACTGCTATGTCCTTCTGTTGACCCTAAAATCGGCTGGCTAGAGCCGATCTTAAATTGATGTAAGCCGGGCGTGCCAGAACCAAATATATGGTTCGAGTGTATTTTGTCAACTTATAGTCTCTTAGGGAATGTTGACTTCAGGCGATTATACGAGATAGAGAACAAATAAACTCCTAAATGAGTTCAATATTGTCTTAATTAAAAGGACTTTCTGTAAACAAATTATAGTAACATAACAAAAGAATAGAAAAGGGGAGATAATGGATATAGCAAGAAAAGAAAAGAAAAGGAAAGAATGAGGAAATATTAAAAGAAGAGAAAGAGAGGAAGAATTCTTCTAAGGGTACTTGGTACAAGGACCCTAATTATGAGGTTTTCTCGGCAGAAGTTAGAGATGAATTAGAAGTTAACGTTGCAGAGGTTAATATCAAAAAGCCATACGTTTGTGAGGCGTTGGTTAAACCTAAACCGACCACGGGGGGTAATTCATCAACGTCAACATCGGCAGCAAGGAAAGGTCCTGCCGATACCGGGAAAAGTTATTTGTTCGACTTATCGAAAACAGATCAAATTTTTGATCACTTGATGGCTGATAAAATGATATCTTTGCCTAAAGGGCATATGATTCCATCGGCAAGTGACTTGAAGGCAAAAGAGTATTGTAAGTATCATAACTCTTGGAACCATGCTACTAATGATTGTACTATTCTACGAGGTGTATTGCAGAAAGCTATTGACGAAGGCACTTTAAAATTCCCGAAGAAAACTCCAGAGACCATGAAGGTGGATACTAATCCATTTCCAACAATCACATCTACAAATGTAATAAGCTTAGCCAAGCGAGAGAATCGGCAGGAGGCAGAGAAGATATCTGGTGAGTTCCTTTCATCAACTGCGACACCTGACAAGATGGCAGAATTGCATAAGCAATTAAGGGAGGCTCAATTGGCCTTGATTGATAATGGTTGTTGCCCAAATTGCAAAGGAAAGCAACAACCAAAGGAAGATGTGCCAATGGAGGTTCAACCAAAGAAGAAAGGAATTCTTGAGAGGCTTACTTTCCCATTGAAGCCTGGGGAGGAGCCTCGGCAAGGTGATTCCAGCAACAACCATTTGAAAGCAGGAAGGCCAACTCGGCAAGGTGATATATCTAGCCGATTTCATTCCCAAAATCGGCCTCCCAGTTTTAAGAGGCAGTCACCAATTCAGTCAGAGATTTAGGTACAGAAATGAGCCAATTCATATAGAGTACGAACTGTGAAACCAAGGACAGACTCGACTGGAGATAGATGGACTCGAGTTAATCATCCAAAATTTCCTAAAGCTCAACAATCTCAGAATGGAGGCCTAACTCGATCTCAGAAGCGTATAGAACAAAGGAGAAGGGCTGAGGAAAAAAGAAAAGCTGAAGGAGGAAGCAAAGTAGTGCAAGCCGAGGTTATCGGCATTCCAGGTAAAGATAACCCGGATGAAGAGCATCAGCCGAGGTGGCCTAGACGTAACAATGAATTCAGAATTCAGTTTGGCAGTTTCCCAGACGAGATGTCATGTAACATGGCATTTGTATTACCAACAATGTTCCAGGCTCCATCGGTATCAAATGCAAATACTGAGAAGAATGAGAAGGAAACTCAGCCGATTCGGAATTTA